CGGAGTCCCCGGGCCCTATTCGCTCGCGCGCTTAGACGCAGCCCCCTCCCGAAGGTGAGTTCCAGAGCTCCAGCAAGCCGGGCACCCAGAGGGGAAATGAGGCCTCCTGCGCGCCCACCCGCGGTGGCCGAGTCCGCGTTGCCTACACCACTGAGACCCCCTCCTGTCACCCACCTGCGGCCCTGGCAGCGCAGACTTTCTGGCTTCCCGGGCCACCCGGCTCCCTCCCGCAGACTTTCCATATTTGGTTATTTCAGATTTACTTTCGTGAGAACTTGGTTAACTCGCTGTGGCAGGCAGAGCAGCCCGGGTCTGATAGCGGGCTGAGGTTGGGGAAAAGAGGAGATGCCCCTGCCTCCCCCTCCTTCCAGGGCCGGGGAGAAAGGCCCGTCCAGCCACCAGCTTCGCGCACTTCGTGGGAGAACTGGCTTAGGGCCAGAGTACGGTTCCCTTTCCCAGAAATAAATGCATTTTAAAAGAGTTCCGGAAAAGGGAAACAAAATGCAAAGGAATTGGTTAAAAACACTTGGGTGGGGGGGGATTGGGAGGGAGTTAGAACAGTCTGGGTGGGTGTAAGATAATTTTAGATAGCCAAAGGCTGGTCGGACCTAGGATCTCAGATCCTGTGCCTTCTGGTCTGCTTTATACAGCACAAAGCCCAGGGTGTTAACATAATCCAGGGTTTGAATGAAAATCTGCCACCCTGAGCAGCTGATTTGAAGAGGAAGGATGGAAACTGCTGAGGGTTAAAAGGAATTGGAGAGGGGGATGCCTGGGTTTTCATGTAGTGAATCCATGGAATAGGTCCACTCTCAAGTCCTGCGTGGGGCCTTCCCAGAGTCTTCTGTGGCACCTGCATGGTAAGGTGGCTTTCCCTGGCTGCCTAGCTGAGGCTGTGATATGGGGGAAAGTCAGTAGTTCTTCTCTGAGCACAATGTCAGCGGACTACCCACTGGATGTGGGTGGGTGACATGGGTGCCCAACCACTGGGAGTAGAGCTGTGCCTGTGGTGTCTCAGGGGTGATTTGCAAGCTGAGGGGGGCCAGGCGGGGCTCTGAGTCAGTCCCATCAGGTAGTGGAGGAAGCAGACCTTACATAGTCTCTGCTGTAGGGGAGGACCTTGAAGAAAAAAAGCTGCTGTCTGTGGAGCTGCCCTCATCACCCGTGTTCTCCTGGCTCAAGCCATTAGCTATTTTTGACCCCACAGTACCCCTGTGAGTCAGGGTGGCTTCCACACCCCCAGATGGCGAGGAGGAGCACCTGGTGTAAAGAACCCAGCACTCCATGGCTGAGTTGGGTATGGGATTGTGAGGTCTCTCCTTCAGGATTGTCACCCTGGTTTCTCAGAGAGCCACACCTGCCTACTTTCTTTTTAGTCTGAGGGGTCAGCAAAGGAACCTGGATTCCCCTAAGTGCCCAGAGGGTCTGTTCCCAATAGTTTGGCAAGTTCTGCTAGAGACTGCCCTTCCCAAGGTATGAAGAGACCACACTGTCCACTCTACCAACCAGTGACTGGGGCATGTTTGCTTTTGTGAGTAGCCTAAACAGATGTTGCATGTCTCCCAACTGCTGCGGGTGGGTGTTAGGAAGAGCTCAATCTGCCCTGCTAGTGAGACTTGGTAGTATCCCAGGAATCAGAATAACAAGGTGCAGGTTATAAATAGCGTATCTCATCAGACCAGCTTCTCTCCCTGAGAAAAGGAAGAGGCAGGTGCTAGCCCTTCCACTTTACCCAGCAGCAGCTGGGACTCAGACTCGGTGCCAATGCGACAATTAGCAGGATGTTGTTCAAGAGCTGTTTTCCAAGACAGACCACAGGAAGGGGAGACAGGCAGAATCTAAAGAGCTCTCTCTGCCTAGGTTGTGGTGCTTCCAAGGTTCTAGGTAGGAGTTCATGTCCCTGCAGAGCTGCAACTGGGATGTGTGTGTCTGTATGCTAGGGACAAGGAGTGGTAAGTCATTCCATGGACTGAAAAGACAGTTGTTGCAATGACAGCTGGGGCATCTGCCTCTGCTGTCGCCACTGCTGCTAGACTTGGGACAATATGAGTCTGCTACAGAAATACTTTATTTGAGGAATCCATAGGGCCTCAGACAGACCTTGTCTTATGAGGAAGTTGGGTGGAAAACCACAAGATAAAAGTGAAAATACTCATTAGTCCTGATACAGAAACTGGAGTTTCTAGCACGTTTTGCATGTCAGTGTCTGCTAGAAGCTGGCTATGATACACGCTTAAATGATGTGCTAGCCAAAGCGTGCACCTGTGTAGTCTGTATCCTGCACATGTGCAGGTCCTCTGGACTTGGTGACAGCTCAGCAAGCCAGTCTTATTTTCAATAGCCCTTGCTGAGTCAGTTTCCCTCCTCATCAATTCACTACACCTCTGGATTCTCCCTAACAGCCGTTTCTTCCCTCAAGGCCATGGTGCTGTCTCCCAGTCTACCCAGAACATCACCTCCATGATGGGCCAGCTTTCTTCCTCCTGAAGCAGACTTCTCTGCTGCCCCTCCTCAGTCCTAGTCTTCTGTGCTCGGCTACTGACCTTGAAGGCCCTGTGTTTCCCAGACTCCTCTTCCCCCAGGTTCTTTGGCAAGTCTCTGGAAAGAGGAGTCAGGACTTGGTGGCCTCCCTGGGCTCCCTGCACCTGCCTTGCTGCTCAGAGGCCTCTTGAAGGCTCCCATGGCCTGTAATCCTCTGTCGCCAGCAGGCACTGCAGCTGTCGGCCAGACTGTCCATCCGGCGCCTCCTTGGATGACACCCCATCCTCTCTGGCAGCCCCCAACTTGACTTATTCTTCTCATCCATCTCCTTTCCTAATAGTTTACTGTGGGGAATAGGCCGCATCTAGTGACCAAATGCCTGCCCTTCTTTTTTTTCTTTTTAAGATTTTTAAAAAATTTTATTTATTATTTTTATTTTATGTGTATGTGTATATTGCCTGCATGTAGGTAAATGCACCCATGTCATGCAATGCCCACAGAGGTCAGAAGAGGCTGTCAGATCACCTGGGACTGGATTTACGGGCAGTTAACTGCCATGTGAGTGCTGGGATTCAAACCCGGGTCTTCTGCAAGAACAGCCAGTGCTCTTAACCACTGAGCCATCTCTCCAGCCCTTGGTTTCTTTTTTTTAAAATTATTTTTATTTTATGTGTCTGAGTGTATTGTCTGCATGTGTCCAAGTGTACCCATGTTGTGCGGTGCCCATGGAGGTCAGAAGAGGGTGTCGAATCTCCTGGAACCAGAGTTACGGGCAGTTGTTCACTGCCATGTGGGTGCTGGAAATAGAACCCAGATCCTCTCCAAGAGCAGCCAATGCTCTACCTGCTGAGCCAGCTCTTCAGGCCTAAGATGCTTGGTTTCTTACCAGCACTAGTCCTAGCCGCCTTGATTCACTGCAATGTTTCAGGGGCTACTTCTTCTTCCACCTCTCCCTGACTGTTACAAAGGCCGCTGCTGTTTCCCTGGCTAGCACTGATCTAGTCTGTTCCCTTACCAGGATTGGAACCTCTCTCCTAAATGGTCTGAATTACCTAGTGCATTGCTTCCTGCTCCGGGCCTGGCTGTATTTTGTCTTCATTTCCTCGCTGCTGAGGAGGGTCTCCTTAAGATTTTGCCTGATCAACACCCATGGCTTTTACTGTGGGGTAAAAAAGA